CTCGACGGCGCGCGCGCGCGGGAGGGCGCGGGCTGCAGGTGGGGGACTGCGGAGAGCAGGGGCACGCATCCCACCGGGTCAGGCTGACCCAGGACGGGGGGAGAGATCTCGGTTCTCGGGCTCGCGAGTCCCACAGACAACCCGGACGCTCAGCAGCGCTCCGCTGGCTCTGGGACGTCAAGAGCTTCTCGAGAAGTGGGGGCAGCCGCCTCCGGGCTGCCGTGCGCCCCGAGCGGAGGCGCTGCAGGTTCGCCGGTCTTGTGAGACTCTGCTGTCTGTCCCGGGGCCTCCCTCTCTTGCCTCCCTAAGAAGGCTGGTCTTGCGGTGGCCGTGAACCTGTGGGCAGGATGCCAGCAGGGCTCTGGCAGAGTGGACAGCCACCAAGAGCCTGCAGGCCCCGACAGGGCATCTCCAGGTGGACAGAAACGAGGTCCCGGGAGGGCCGGCTAGGCTTCTTCACCTCGGGTGTGTTTCCTCTTCCGGCCCTCGGCTCTGCCACACTTGGGTAAAACACGTCTTGCTGGAGCAGGTTTTCTTGGGTCCGGCAGTGCCCGGGCGTCAGACACGGACAAGAGGCGGCCAGGGCTTCTGTACACCCTGTTATTTCTTTCTCTCTTGGTTTTCTGAGTGCGCTCTGACGGCCTGTCTAGATTTTTCCATCTGGTCGTGGTCAGCTCTTGACGAGGGGTAGGAAGCCAAGCTGCCATCTGAGAAGCAGTTTTTCGGAGATTGCAGAGCGTGATGGGTGTGTCAGCTCGGGGTGGTAACAGGGGTTTGTGGGTTAAGAAATTTAACAAACGTCTGTTTCTCATACTTTCAGAGCCTGGGAGTCCAAGGTCGAACGCTAGTCTTTTGGGTTGCTAATGAAGGCGCTGCCTGTCTTGTAGAGGTCCCTTCTCATTGTGTTCTCACAGCTGCTTAGTGTCTCTTATAAGGACACCAGGTCCATCATGGGATCTGCCTTATGGCCTCATCTGAATCCACTCACCTCTTAAAACCCTTGCCTATTGATGTAATCACTTCGAGGCTGAGATTTTCAGTATGTGAATTTGGGTAGGACACACTTGGTTCGGATTAGTAGGATCCAGAAGAGAGAGACAGTTGTGCGGCTGGGCAGGCAGGACCTCTATGGTTACTTAGACCTGTTATGCCAGGGCCATACCTCCCCGTGAGCCCTGGCATGAAGAGACCTTTCCTGACCTTTGAGCCAGCGTTTTTTCTCTTAAAGCCGCAGATTCCTGGGAATTTTCAAAGGTCTAAGCCTAGTTCCCCTAGAAATTTAGCAAATGCTGAAAGTTCTGGCGTTTAGCATGTAGAAGCATCTTGCCTGGTTGGTAGCAGATCTGGAACGGTGTCTCCTACAGTCCTGCTCAGCAGGGAGAGCTGGTGAGAGGCCGGTTTGACAGAAATCACAGCTCTCTGGCTTTACCCTGCAAAAGTCTACAGTGTGGTCTTGGCCAGGAGCCGGTCTGGAAACTGTCTGCTAACTGCTGGGGATTTAGGAAGCGATTTGCTCACCCTGGGGAGGTTGAGCAGTAGGAGGTCACACAGCTTGACTATGTCTGAAAAGGACACGTAACAAGTGTAGTGCAGGTCCAGGGGCTGGATGCTTAGGTGAGTATGAAAGCGGAGGTCTGTCTGTCTGTCTCCGTTGCTCGGTCAGAAATAATGAGCAGGGTGAGGAGGCACTAGTCACTAATGAAACTGCCTCTGAGAGGCAGGAAACCAAAGGATCAGAAAATGCATAGATTTGATGGTGGCAGGGACTCAGAATCACAGGCTTCTGTCTCGGGGGAGGTGGTGTGGAAAGGCTGTCAGTGGCCTTCTTGTCAGGGAGGCCTGACCTCCCCCCACCGACTGGCACCGCTCTGCACGAGCGCCTATGCCCCAGGGCTGGGAGCCACAAGGGGTCCTGGTGCTGTGTTTGGGTGTCTGACCATCAAAGGGCTCAGAGCTTGGCTCCTGACCAGCCTGTGGCCTCCTCCACCTACCACAGGACTGGAGGTGACTGGAGGTGAAGCCAGTCCTGCTGTGGACCAGCCAAGGACTCTCCACAGCTGTCTGGAGCCAGCTTTCCAGCTTTGGTGGCCTCCATACCCCCCCCACCAAAGGCTCAGAGGCACCCTAAGCAAGCTCTGAAGGGTAGATCTACGGAGCTACTGCAGACCTGCAGCCGCCCCACCTCCCAGAGGGCAGGGCAGGCAGAGACGACGTGGTCCTTTCCCATTTGCTGCAGCCTCTGGCTGGCCCGCCCACTTGCACAGGATGTTTTAAGTTTTCATCTCATGTTTGGCAGCCTGGTGCTGCTGTTAGGACTACCGGTTTGCTTCGGGTGCTCATCCAGAACAAGGGCGATACTCTCCCTTTTCACTGTTGGTCCCTGTTTGGGCTACACTCCCTGCCCTTGACTGGGGTTCCATGGAGTTGGGGGGACAGTCCCTACCCTGTCCCGAAAGGCAGGTTCCCCGTCCAAGTACATTGATTTCCCTGTTCCTGTTTCTTTGAAGCATTTCGTTCTGTTAATGAAAGGAGACCCATAGGGTGAAACTGTGAGCAGATGCCATGGGGTTGAGTGTAGTCCTGGCCATGCACAAGCCCTGAGCCAGCAATGGCACTGCCCAGATGTGCTGATCTTTATATAAAATGCCCAGGGTGCATGTTAGGATAGGTTCCAGACCTGGGAGAAGGGGGACCCTAGGGCAGAGCAGGAAGCTAAGTTGTGCTTGCCTCTCTAACAGCCAGGAGCGCCATAAGGCCAGGAGCACGTGGTTTCAGAGGCTATCTCCGGGTGTCTGCTGCCCTCTGCCTTGTAACCCACCCTGGCCCTGCTCCAGTTCCTCTTGCAGAAGGTTAATAGTGCTTAGGATTGCCTGCCCCCGTTTTACTGTTGACCACAGCGTTAGAAGTCTGATTATACCCAGAGAGACCCCTGAATCACATTTACACAATAGGACCAGAGGAGACACAGGGCTGGGGTGGGGAGCTGACAGCTCTGAGAAGTGTGCAGACAAAAGCGGTAGGTCAAAATGAACCCAGAAAGTCCCCAGGTCTGCGGGGTACCACTGTCATCTTACCATACCCCATTCTGACCCAGCTCTTTCCAGGGCACATTTCCCTCAGTACGCATTACTGAGGTACTCAGACACATCAAAACAGAATCATCCTTTCTTGCTGTAGCTGAAGGAAAACTAGAATATTCTAGTT